TCCTCAGAATCTCACTGCTTTTGCAGCAAAGGAGAAAATAAAGTCATTCCCGAACAGTGTCTACAGAACATTATAGGACAACAGATGACATCTTAGCAGGCAACTGTGGCCCTTTCAGATTTTAGAAGAAACACTTTAAAGAAAGTATTCTTTTTATTTATATACACACACACACACACACACAGAGATTTTCTTCCTTTTTGGTGTGTATTATATTGAGAGGAAAGACACAAGGAATAAAGAGAATGCTATCATTGTTAAATTTGTTTTTATCTGGTAGAATTCAAAAGAAAAAAGTACGAGACCGTTTGAAATAAACATTAAATGGTATGTGTTTAAAAATTGTTCAATAAATGCACTAATGCATTTGAGAAAAATCATTATGTTGTAATAAATGACATTATACTGGGCTCAGAATAGAACACTGATAGTTAAATGTAGAACACTTTGTGAGAGAAGTGTAATAATGAAAATTCCACAGATCAAATTGAGTAATCAATCAATCCAGTCACAATTTAAGAGTCTGCTTCCTAATGAATTAGTTCTTATGTAACAACGAGCAGTACTCAGTAATTTAAGCTATTTTACCACAAATGTCATTTTAACAATAAACAATCTTAAAAAGTTTTATTCTCACCATTCAAATTTTAAAACATTCTGTAAGCTTCATATTTATGCTAACTATATAGTACGTGATATGATTGATAGTCAGATACCATCACTCACCTGGTCAAACCAATCAGATGTAAGATAAAGACAAAGCCAAACCAATCGAACACATACACACACATCCAAAGATCACACTAGGCTTCAAATCTTTAAAATTAAAAAATAGCTATTGTCATAAATAGAAAGAAAATCATGTAAGGCTGTAATTCAGAATATTTATAGCTCTTCACAATGTATATTATATGTGAGTTCTCTATGAACATAATTATGAGTTAGTCCATAAACATAATCTTCAGGGGTTTTGTTTTGTTTTTTTTTTGAGACAGAGTCTCACTCTGTCACCCAGGCTGGACTCCAGTGACCCGATGATGGCTCACTGCAACCTCAAACTCCTGGGCTCAAGTGATCCTCCTGCCTCAGCCTCCTGAGTAGCTGGGATGACATGCATGTGCTGCCAGGCCTGGCTAATTTTTTAATTTTTTTGTAGAGACGGGTCTCACTACATTGCCCAGGCTGGTCTCAAACTCCTGGCCTCAAGTGATCCTCCCACCTCAGCCTCTAAAAGTGCTAGGCTTACAGGAATGAGCCACTGTGGCCAGCCATCCTCAGTTTTAATGAAGTTATTTAGAGACAATTCGCAAAGCTGAAATCCAAGACAAAAATGGCTTAACTAAGAAGAACTCTATGCTACCTGTATTTAAGATTTCTATTTGGAATTGAGATGGGACACATACCATTTTCATTTCACTTATACTTTCTAAAACAGGGCAATTGACAGTGTGGCAGACTATGAAGTCAAGTTGTGAATCAAAATTAGTAGGTCTAATATTTTGGCTTAAAGACAAAGGTGACAGTGAATAACCTACTTAATAGAGAATGCACCTCAGCTTCCATATGAAGAATGTGAATTATACTACACCTCATCTTTCAGAATGACTCCAGGAAGAGAGAAGTTCGTACTGCACACTAATATGCTATCTCTACAGAATATAAAATAAGCACCGACTGCGTGTAACAGTTGTGTGTGATATGCTATGGATTATTACTAGGATTAACTTCTTCAGCAAGAAATCCAAAAAGATTTACTTCAACCGGTAACAAATCCTGACAAATAAAGTTGAATAGAAATGATCTCCAAATACTGCTATTACCACAAAAGCACATGTCCCCTTTTATTATCCTGTTCCTTCTTTTAATAACGAGAACAACATTGATGAAACTTCAGGGTAACCTTTGGGTGTTTGGCGACTTCTTTCATCTCCTCCTGAGCTTCAGGGACATTCACTGGGATCACTTCTTTCTTCAGTAATGCAACGTATCGTGGAGCCACCGGGTCAATAACCTGCAACAAACACATCCTCGTGTTAAAACACTGAAATACTTCTTAAGACATTATAAATAAAATACATAACAGCACGGGAATACTAACTGGCTTTCTTGTTACTGCATTTATTAATTTTTCTTTATCTGTTCACTCTTCTCTAATATTTATCATCAAATAAAAAAAAGAAAAACCATCATAAACCAAGACTACGTGAAGGATTTAGAGTTTTTTCCCAGGAATAACTACTGGCAGGTGAAAAGAAACCAACTGAAGCATAATATTAGAAATATTTTGAA